CGGAAAAAAAAAAAAAAAAAAAAAAAAAAAAAAAAAAAAAAAAAAATTGATATATATTACATTAAACCCACACTTACAGCTACTCTCAATAAATATGAAGATTGTATATTGATGGGTCGACATGGGCTGGAGCTGAGTAGCTGCTGAACTCTTTGAATGGAGCACATGATATTTGGCTTGCCACAATCCCCACCACTCCCTACTGTTCAGCAACAACCAAGCTTTGTGTTGGTTACTTTGTTTTTACCATAATTGTATTATTATTGTTATATAATTGTATTATTCTTATAGTGGAGAAATATTTGTTTATACCCATGTTTTATTCAAAGATGGTAAAATGAAAGATAAATGAATAGGGCTTTGTGTTTTCAACCTGACCCATTTTACACATTTATATCAACTGCCTGGCTCCTGTAGGTATATGAGTATTTGAGAACTTTACTAGAGGGATGAAAAAATATATGGCATGATATACATATTACAACTTCTCATTTCAGCACCCATGGCAGACATGAGAAATCAATCACAGCTCCCTTTCCTCAGGATTCTTCTCAACACAACACCTCTTGCCACCATTCCCAAGTAGTCAGTATTGACAAACAAAATGATATCCACTGCCCTCCTTCATCTGGTTCAACTCTCATTTTACTGAGCTGGAAATGAAGGTCCAGAAAATTTAAGCCATGCACCTGAGGATAATCCTTAGGAAGTGGTGGAAACCACTGAGTCAATAATGATGCCATAATGAAACCATGAGTCTCTTGATTCTGGTGCTATTTTCACAGGCCCAAGCACCTCGTGGGAAAAGAGGAAATAAAAATATGGTCCAGAGCTGGGTTTATCTTTGACAAGAGCATCCAATACACCAGCTGAGCAAGATCTGTTACATCCTTTTTCCAACTTATATAACTTCTCTTTCCCATGCCTTACCCTTGCCCTCATCTTTCCTACTTACTTTTCTATTTCAAATCAACAGTGATATATAACTGACTTGGTGCCCCTGGACTGCTCCTCATTCCAACCTCTGTTTTCCAAACTCCCAAAGGTGTCAGAGGGAGTACTTACGGCACCCGGAGCTTGGGGAACTTCTGGATGTCATTTTCTGTCAGGTTCTGAAATGAAGACACATGGCAGGCAAGTTACAACCCACAGGAAGGACTTCGAGCTAGGTGAGTAGAGTAATATGTGGAACAATAGGGAGTAGTGGGGACTGTGGCAAACTGAAGCGTGCCTCCCCCACCCATCCACCCAAAGTAGGCAGGTTCTAGGTATTACATAAAAGCCTGTCAGGTTGGTGTTGATGGACCTGCTTTTCCAAAGGGACTCCTGAAATCTGGATTTCATGTGAAATGTCCTGAGTTCTAAATGTTGACTTAAATAAACAAACACTGTGAGGGCTAAATCTGTGAAATAAAGCAGAACTTGTTTTATGGGCTGAATTGCCTTGTTGTGATCTCTTCCTACAATCTTACCCCAGACTTCAGGACCCCCCTCAGTCACCATATGGATCAGCTGTAGAGAAGCCAGCCTGAAGAAGAAATCGGTGTGTCTTATACCATAGTCACACCCAAAGAGTCTCTTTCACCAGGGTTATTGGTAGAATTCTCAAGATTTTGGGATGCAATAAAAAGGCCTTCCTGAAGGAACCAAGAGGGGAAAGGGAAAAAACCTTGCATTTGTCAAGAACTGAGTCTGTGCCTCTGCCTTATAACACTTTGAGTAATCGCCACATCAACCCTGTGATGTAGGAATTATCACACTCCCATTGTATAGGTGAGAACACTGAGGCTCAGGGATGTTAAGGGAATTTCAGCTTGGAGTTGATGGATCTAGAGATGGAACTCTGTTCTATGACATCCACATTCTATTGTTTTCCTGCCTCCTCCCATGTTCAAACCCTTTAAGGGTCCCAGTGGCCTATCTTGAAGGGGAGGAGGATGTAAAGGTAAAAGGAGGTATCTTGAAGAGAGGAGGAGAGGTGGACATGCTAATATTGTTAACAGAAAGGAGGGTGGGCATGCCTTCCACGAAACCAATGGTGAGCCAAAGAAGGGCTCCATTGCTATTCTAATTAAGACCAGAGGGCTGGGTGGTTAGAGTGGGAGCTCTGGAGTCAGACAGGCTGGACTTGAATCTTGCTTCATTCACCTAGCAGTTGTCTCATTTGGGGCACACAGCCTCTCTGAGCCTCAGTTTTCTTATCTGTAAAATGGGGATCACCATAATAATAATACCAACCTTTCAGGCACTGTGAGGATTGAGTGAGATAATGTACGTAATGTGCTTGGCACAGTGCCTGGCACAGAGCATGGGACTGAGAAATGGGGAAGTAAGGGGAGGAATTACTACCCCAGAGGGAGGGAGCATCTGGGGTCTGGTTGGCCCTTAGAGGTTGGTGGTTTTGCTTCTTCTCCACTTCCATGCTGGGAGCTGCTTGTCAGGTTGTTTGCTGCCCTTTCAGAAGAGCTGGGCACACTTCCCTTTGAGCTCAGCTGGTATAGGAGCTGGGGCTGAGGCATCTTAGCAATGTGCTGATTGGATTCATCTGACCCAGCTCTTGGGAGCAGTTTCTGACCCAACCCCTTTATCGGATCACCTGAGGCAGGGTTGGGACAGGTGAAGAAAGTCACCCAAGAGTCTTTAGAGAACAGGCTTTGGCCAAGCTTCTTAACTTGCTCTCACTCTTGCTCTCTCTTTTTAACACCACTGAGCAACAGAGTCTCCTTCCTCCAGAACTATCCTACGCTCAGGGAGAGTATAAAGACCTGTTCAGAGTGTGGCATGATGAGGTGAAGGCTTCCTGAGGGCTGCCACAGGGACCAGAGCTGAGCACTGGGCAGCCGGCCACCAGCTTCTGTTGTTCTGAGAGGAGGACATCAACTGAGGGAATTTCAGGAGGAGTGTGGAGGAGAAGATGGATGTGAGCATAGCTGGAGACACAGGGGGCAGAGTGTTAGGAGAGAGAAAGATATTTATAACAGGGACAAGAACTGCGAGAAAAGATGAGAGATGTTGATTTTTGGAGAGTTTTTCTGTGGGAGGTAACCCCCTCCTTCACCTCTTTCAAAAACCTTCAGCAAACTCTGGGTTACTTGTACAATTATTTTAGAGTTAGATTTGTGGTTTTTAGGGAATATGATTGTATGCTGAGGATGTCCAAAAGAGGGGTACGGAGAACAAAGCACCCATCTGCACTGTGCCTGGAGAGGCAATGTGGCAGACACTGCTGTTTGCCTACCCAACTATGATTGTATGCTGAGGATGTCCAAAAGAGGGGTACGGAGAACAAAGCACCCATCTGCACTCTGCCTGGAGAGGCAATGTGGCAGACACTGCTGTTTGCCTACCCAATATCCACTTTCCCTCTCTTTCTTACTGACAGGTCTTAGAATTTGTTAAGGGCAATAAACGTGCTTGTTCAAAATATTTAACTCCCTAGACTCCCTTGCAGATGGCTGAGGTAACATGACTCAGTTGTAACCAGTGACCTATAACTTGAAGTCTATTGGATGAAGCTTCTGGGAAAGTTACTACTTTCCCGAAACAAAGGGTTGGGGTGTCTTCACCATTTACCATGCATCTTTTACTCTTTGCCCTTCCCCACTTCCTCCTGCCTGCAATGGAGATATGATGTCTAGAGGAAGAGTGTTCTATTCAAAGCTGTTAGGACAGAAGGCACAGGATCCTTCCATAGCCTAGATGGAGCCTAGATTCTTGACGACTTCCTTCAGCAGCTTACCAGCCCCACCTGTACATTTCTTATTACTTGAGAAAGACCAACCCTTTTTGAGTTAAGCCACTGTGGTCAGGTTTCTGTGACATGCAGCCACATGCCTGTCGAATTGACACAGATCTCAAGCACATTTCCTCCTCTTCTTACACCTTCTGGAAACATAGCACCCTCATTTTGCACCAGACAAGGTTCTATCCTTCTCAGCAAAAAACACAAATGACAGCAAGACAAATTCAAGGAAACTACTAACTCCTTCTCTGAAGAAGAATGAAAGAAGAAAAAAAGAAAAGATGGAAGGAAGGAAAGGAGGAAGGAAGGAAGGGAGAGAGGGAGGAAGGGTAGGAGGGAGGGAGGGAGGGAGGAAGGAAAAATAACTAGGGATTTCTACACTTGCCTTCAGTAGCAGAATGGCCCTGGGTATTGTAGAGCTGGAAGGAGTGATAGACGAGTAATCAAAGCTTAGACCAGGAGTCCCAAATTGTACCCAGAGCACCTGGGCTGGAGGATGGGTTCTAGCAGAAGCTGCCTTTACATAACCCAGTTGCTGGATTATGCTGGATTATGCAGGTGCTGGGTTCTGCTCCCTGCTCTCCTGGCTTCTAGGGCCTCTTTCCACTTCCTCCTTTTCAGACAGCGAGTGGAATGTGCCCCATTCTCTGAGGGACTGATAGGTACCAGAGAGTAGAACCGAGGAGACATAGATGCCTAGAAACCATCTCTCAACCAGGAAAACAACCCTGTCTTATCACACCCAATATTGACATGGAAAGTGTTGAGGGGAATCACAGAGCTGTGAGGGGCTGTCACCCACCAAGACCCAGTCCGACATACTCAGCCAACAGAGGAGGGAGCAAAGAGAGGCTCAGGAAGGCGAGTGTTCACTGAAGGTTTCCCAGGACGTCCTCAAAGATGTCCTTCCCCTATCCACTCAACTGTAGTAAGTCCCTGTTCTCAGTGCTAAAGGCCCCAGAATGAAATATTCAGGTTTAGTAATAATTTGCAGGAATAGCAACAACAAAACTCCAGGAATTCTGTTGACTCAAAGCTCTAAGGCTCTGGGGCCAACCCCTCCAGAAGGACACTGCCTTCAAGGCATACAAAGGGCTGGCCATAAGCCCTTAGGAAAGTAGAGAAGAGCTGAAAGAAGAAAATAAAAAATCATATAGTATTAGACTAAATTAAATGTATGCTTTAGTCCAATTACTAGGTCTGTGACTTAGGACAAATTATATCACAGCTCTGCACATGTTTCCTCATATGCAAATAAGGTGGTTGAAAGCCTTCCTGAAGATGCCTTTCTGCTATAAAACAAGTTTCTGGAAGGCAGGAATTACATCTTAATCATTTCTCTATCCCCAGCACGTGGCATATCCAGTATATAAAGGAAGCTCAGGAAAATGCTTGTCAAGTAAGTGAATGGGTGAATGAATGAATGATTTAGGTGGAACAGTGAATAAACATGTCCTACGTGGCACCTGAAAACAAAACGTAGATCAATAGGAGTACAGGTTTAGTCTCAGCATGAGATTCCAGAGCTGCCCAGAACGGAGTGGATGACTACGAGTGGTAGTGAGCTTACCATCCCTGAGGGAATTTTAGCAGATGCCGGCAGGGATCATATAAAAAATGAGCTGGTGTGCTGGGTGGCAAGCTGAAGAATGTGACCTCTCTGGTTTCTTCCAACTGCCCTAAGGTCTCATGGTCAAGTTTCTTTACTGACCATGACTTCCAGGGAGACACAACTTTGCTTGCCATTCTCACTCTGAATTCAAATCGGGCACATCTACCCCCATGAGACGCTTGGAGACTTGTTTCCACTTCTTTTTTTTAAAGAGTGAAGCAAAGTACCCAGAAGGGATGAATTGGTGCAGGTGGGGTCTCTCTTAACCCATAGACAAGGGTGATATTTCAGGGGGAATGCTCAGAGCACCTCCCCAACCACCACCCAGTGCCTCCGTCTCCACCATTAAAGCTGCATTCCTTTCTCTTTCATAGTTTGGTCCTTAATACACACCTGCACCTTGATCTTACACTTACAGTTTTTTTGAATTTTAATACAGTGGAGAGAACCGTAATGCATGTATGTTTGACACAGAATCAATTGCATAAATTTAATAGTGAGAGAGAGGAAAGCAATTGAAATAATGAGGGTGATTCCACCCTTTCTTCCACTCCGTGAGTAGGTGCACCAGAGTGAGAAATAGGAGGTCTTCCATTCTTTCATATGGTCTTTCTTTTCCCCTTGGGTGTCTCAAAGTATGGATGTCATTTGAATAGTTTTCAAGATTTTCATTCATTTATTTATCTGTTTGTTTGTTTGTTTGTTTGTTTGTTTATACCGTACTTGGATATCTCCTTATACTTTGAATTTAGAAAGTATCTCAGTATCAGCGAAAGATCTGAGAGGGATTTTGGATTTTCAAGATTTTCATTCATTTATTTATCTGTTTGTTTGTTTGTTTGTTTGTTTGTTTATACTGTACTTGGATATCTCCTTATACTTTGAATTTAGAAAGTATCTCAGTATCAGCGAAAGATCTGAGAGGGATTTTGGGTGGGAGGATCCTGCAAGGTGGTGAGAGAGGACCCTCCCAAACCTCTGAATAAGGCACATGGTCTCATGGGGATCTTGAAAAGAGGCATTGACTATGGGTATCTCCAAAGACAGGGTTGATGAGTTGGCCTTGCAGCCATTAGGAGAAATACAGAATATCTTTGGTTTCAATGTGTCAAACTGGCCAGAGCTTACCAAAAACCGAGCCCCGTCTATGTGGTACTTCTTCACTGCCTTCTCACAGTCCCTGTAGCTCAGCTGCAAAGAGAAGATGAAAATGTTCTCAGTAATAGGCTCATGCCACTGGTTTCCCTTCCTTGCCAGCCCCAGAAACTTAGCAATTTGTGGTACTTGTGGCTAGCCAGGTTCCCTCCTTTCCTCCCCTGTCTACAGAGAAGCCCTGTCCCCACCTCAGCCCTGATTCACTACACCCTTGGGACTGCCTGAAAAGGAGAAATTGCCTCTCTCAAAGGCTCTGGGGCCAACCCTCCAGAAAGAGACTGCCTTCAAGGCACACAGAGGACTGGCCACGTGCTCCTTAGGAAAGTAGAGAGGAGCTGAAAGAAGAAAATAAATACCATTCATTGTCTCACCACCCAAAGACAACATCAGTGAGCACTGTGATATGTTTCTTTCAATGGTTTTTGCCCAGCACATTTCTAAATGTAATTGAAGTTATAATTTATATTCATTTAATTCATTCATATAATTTATATGCCATCCTGATGTTTTTCTCTTAAATTACCTAAAGTGATAATATAAGCACTGCCTAGTGTTATTGCAAACTTTTTGTAAATATTATTTTAATAGCTAAAACACTAATCACTCCCTTATTGCTAAGCATTTAGGTTGTTTACCAAACTGCTATTCCAATAATGATAATAAAAACTGCTAATAATTATTGAATGCTTTCTATATGGCAGACACCGTTCTAAGTAGTTATACCAATCTCAAGTCATTTAATCCTCACATTTTGCAGATGGGGAAGGAGAGGCACAGACAGTCAGGTAACGTGCAGGAAGTTCCATGGGTTGTAGGTGACAGAGGTGACAATCAGGCTTGAGAACAAGGCTTTCATGTCTCTGTCAGGAATGTTTCCTTTTTCATAACAGTACAACTTACATACAGTAAGTAAAGGGAACAAACAGCTACAATTCAGTTACAGCTGAATACACCCTCAGGACCAAAACATAGAACATCATCGGATAACTTTTGCGTAATTTTTTTTTCTTCCTATTTAGGATACATTGTTTAAGTCAGATTTTCAGAATAGAGTTGTATAGTATCAACAGGAACAAACATTCTTAGGGTCTTGTTGATTTTTCTAAACCAACCAACAATAACATGAAACGCCCATTTCACCTTGTCCTCAATACCATAAGCATTCACAATTGAGATATCTCTAAGTTTGATGTTTTGGGGTGAAGTATTTAAGGTTAAATATTTGTCCTTGAGAATCCTAGGTTCTTCCCCCAAGTGTGGGCTCACAGTTTGTGGCAGCCTTCTTTGGGGGCAAATTTAAAATCACATTCTCACTTCATGGCCAACAAATCTGAAAAGTAAATACAGTCGTAACCTCTTGGCTTGGACGAGTGGAATGAGTATCACAGTCAGAAAGCTGGTTTAGAGGTCCACGTCAAAAGCAAGCACATCTGCGGAACCCTGGCCTCCTTTTATCTATATGCAGTGGGGTGTAAATGGTTCTCGGAATAGTCAACTGCCTTTAAGTCATCATTTTAACTGTCATTATCAGATGAATCTCCAATTTTTCACAGTGCTGACTTTGATTCTAGATTGACAGACAGCCCTGCAGACTGAGACCTCAACATTTGATTCTGCTACAGTAAAATTGAGACCTGGGCACCTAAAATCTGTATTTTTAACAAGCACCCTAGATGATTCTTATGAGCACCCAGCTTTGGTAGATACTGTGGTCTAGAGCATTTGCCTGGCTTTGTAGATAGGACCACTGAAGCCCACAGAGGGGAAGGGACTGGCGAGGGTCAAACAGTGATTTGGGAACACAGCTGGGATTAGAACTCATCGCTCTGAGCCAGGGCCTCTCCATTGCATGGCCCAAGGATGCTCTCCTGCCAAGGCAAAAAGATTTGGAGGGGTTAAAGAAATGCAAAATGTGGTCTCAGTCCTCAGGAGCTTACATGCCAGACACAGGATGAGGAGCATATATTTGAGACAATAAAACACAAGGCCTGATGTTTGCATGAGCATCCCCAGCTAGGAGCCAGTTAACAGATCAGGAGGAAGGGAAGAGTGAACATTCATTAGGCCCCCTCTGTCTGCTGAACGCCTTGCACACATTATTTCCTTTAATCCTCACAACATCTCATTCGGTTAGTTACTGTTAGCATCTCTATTTACTGATAAGGATGCCAAGGCACAGAGAGGTGAAGTAATTAAAGAAAAGCCACCAAGCTAGAAAAAGTGACAGCTGGGATTCAAACTAAGGTGTGTCTGACTCCAGGGATGGGTGGGGAGGTGTCTCTTAGGTGGCCCTGACTCTACTGCTTCCATAGAAATTGCACCTGCGATCAATCCTTCAAATGGCACATTTGATCGCTAAGAGCCATCCCCAAGTGGCTCCGTGGTCAGTTAACTTGCAATTTTCTCTCTGGGGGACTGAGTTGCTCAGCATCTGAAGGGTCTCTATGCAAGTCTGTGGGGGGCCAAGACTTCTAGGATCACAGATTGCCCTCAGCCTCCTCTTTCCTGCCCTCAGTCCTATGCCAGGAAGGGGAGCCTGTCCTGGGCTGTGGATTTTTATCTGGGGTCTGGGATCTCTCAGAAGAAAACCCTCCCTTCCCCCAACTCAGGCAGGGAGATGACTCCTTGATCCATCAGATTGCCCTCAGCCTCCTCTTTCCTGCCCTCAGTCCTATGCCAGGAAGGGGAGCCTGTCCCGGGCTGTGGATTTTTATCTGGGGTCTGGGATCTCTCAGAAGAAAACCCTCCCTTCCCCCAACTCAGGCAGGGAGATGACTCCTTGATCCATCCCTGACCTGTCGTCCATCTTCCTGCACTAATGGGAACTTCACACGTGGATTCCTCTATTGTTCAACTGGATTGTGTAATTCTCCTTGTCACTCTTGCAGATGGGGCCTGTCTGTACCTCTCAGCCTGTCCCCAGGCGTTCCCTCCATAATTCTCCATTCCTTTCTCCTTTCTTTATTGAGGTAACATACCACTTTATTCCATCTTGGCAAATTTCACCTTGTTGCCCTAACATATTTGATCTACATGTAAGAAACATATTTAGAAACATCCTTCAAAAGTCAGTTGCCCAACGATTATTGCACCCACAATGCTGACACCAAAGTTTATTATGACCTTGTAGAGGAAAAGTAACAGAAATGAAATGCACAAAACGTGGCAGTTAACAGGATCTGTGGCTGTGCCTCTTCTGAACCACACCCGGTTTACCATGTTCACATTTTCCTCTTTAGGTTGGCGAAGAGCAGCTGTGACTGTAAATACTTTGTTACTATGTAGATACCAGGCTTGGCTAAGTGTCCTAGGGAGCTTACTTCACCCTTCTGGGTCTCAGTTTCTCCAGAACAGGTAGTTGAATTAGATGACTGCTAAGGTTTTAGTATTATAATCTCATGCTTATGGCAGTCTAGAATATCAACCAAATTTGATGCCAGCTTGTAGGGATGGGGGTGTTAGAAGCTCAGATGTCCCTTACAAGGCATCTTATCCCATGGACAGGAGTAGAGGGTCTCTAACTGAGTCATGTGGTTGAGATCTGTCCAAGCAGATATGTGGTCCTCACCAGCATGTCCTCCAAGCCTGGAAGATAGGACAGCAACACTCTGGTCCCAGCTCTGCCACAAGCTTGGCCTCAGACCCTGCTTGGATAATTCCCTTCCCCTTTAGGGGCTTCAGTTTCCCTAGCCATAGCCTGGGCCTCATACCAGTTTTCTGGCCTGCCTCACAAGACTCTCATAGAGCTCCAATGAGACTGTCCCAGGTAAGAGCTTGAGGACCCCTCTGTCAGGGTCATGAGCAATGACTGCACAGACGCCATATCTAGCATTTTCACCATAGCCCTCTCTCCATCTCTCCTGTGCTGGTTATTCTTTGTCCTACCCCAGAACCGTGCGTCTCCCCTTTGTAGTAAGTAACCTCGATCTCAGTGGTTATAGCAGTTTTCTGCATCTCTGAGCATGGGTTTTGGAACCAGACAGGTGTGACTTGAATCCTGCCTCTATCATATGTAGTCTCTGGGGCTTTGAGCCATTTAACTTCCCTGAGCCGTTTTTGCAACTGAGCCATGGGGACAAGAATATTGACCTCACAAGATAGTGGAGAGCGTTAAACAGGACAG